GTTACCCTGATCTTTGAGGAGCTTACGGATAGGGCCTTTGAGATTTTTAAGGTTTAGGAAAACCTTATACATCTCATAACCAGACAAGTCAGGGCTCCAGCTCGAAGCAACGACAGAATTGAAAGCCTCTTTGTGAGTAAGAAAATTAGGGAACTTGAAAGGTTTAGGCTTCCAAGGGGACCGGGAGGGGAGGGTAAGAACCGCAGGGCAATGGTCCGAAGAACGRTAGGGAAGAAAGATGACAGAGGCCGAAGGGAAATGAGAGATGGACTGGGAATTACCTAAGACACGATCGATCTTCTTGAGGAGACCTCCCGTGCCATTGGGGTTCTTAGACCAAGTAAAGAAGAGGCCATTGAAATTGATATCCTCAACCTCAAGGTTACAGACACACTCACGGAAATCAACCATACCACGAGAGGGGCCCGAAAAGCCAGAAGAGCTGTCCTTAGGGTCAAGGGCAACATTGAAATCTCCCATGATAAACCAAGGGGAGTCCTTAACAACAGACTTATGGCCCTTGAGAGAAGCCCATAGCTGGCGACGGGCGATATGGTAATTATCCGCATAAACAACAGAAAGGAAAAGAATCTTAGAGGAGTCGCGGATCTTAACCTAAAAATGCATCACCTGATCGGTGGCATTAAGAAGCATCATGTCGACATGGGCGGGATTCCATGCAACAATGATACGAGTTCCTCTAAGGCAAAGAGAGCCATTAGAAGCCCTGGTCCAAGACCCAAAGACACGCTCACAGATAGAGGGAAGAGTAGACACAGAAGCACGCGACTCAAGAGCAGCACAGATATGAAGATTAGAATCACGAATGAGATCTCTTAAAGCTCTCTGGTGGGAGAGATTGCATAGACCCCGGGTATTCCAAGAGGCAAAGCTCGTCATTGGGAAACGGGGGAGGAGGTGGAGTCCATCTGCTCGGGCTCCTGAGGGGACAACGAATCAACCTGGGGGATAGGAAGATCACGGGCAACGAATCGGGCGGTGTCTCCATCATCCGACTCAACCTCAATCAAATCATCCTCATCCAGGAGGTCATCCTGATCAAGGGGGTCATCAACGATCACAGCAGGAGCAGAAGAGGAGGGAACGGAGGAGGAGGAGGATTCAGGGTCTCTAGGAAGAGAAGAGTCAGAAAAAACGGCAAAACGGTTAGAGGAAGAAGAGGGCGCCTTGGAATGCTTCCGAGAAGATGGGGGAGGGTTAGGAAGTTGAGGGGATAATCGGGCTAAGATGGGAGGCCGGGGAGGGGAGGGAGGGTGGCTAGGGGCTAAACCCATGGGGGGGATGGAAATGGGGGGGGAACCCTTGGGGAAGGGTTCGGTCTTCTATCCATCGGAACATCACGTCGGGGGAGGGCCGTCACCTTTTCCTTCATCTTCTCATCAACATGTTTCCCTTTAGAAGCAATGGGGCGGGTCTCTTTCTTCTTGTATTCCTTCCTCACAATGGGTATCAAWGTCTTTGCCTTTTGGCTTTGCTTGGAGACACGGGTCTGAAAACCTTCACTATCAATCAACACTTTCTTGCCCGAGGAGGGTTGCTCATTAGTAGAAGCCTTATGAGTATCAGATTTTGAAATAGCATTTAAACAGGAGGAAGAAGAGTGACCAAAAATATGACATTCATTGCACATAGGGGGTTTCCATTCATATTCAATACGGAGAGTATACAAAGTCATAGCAAGAGTGTCCGGGTCAGGGATCCGGACATTCACTTCATCAATCCAATTCTCCCTAACAGGAACCTCAAGAAGGACACGGGCAAAAGCCGATTTACCAGCCGCATATTTGCACATATTAACCGTCCACGAGTCCATAGCAAGAGGTATACCTATTTTACTAGCAATGTGACTAAGACCCTCATCATTCCAAGCATCATACGGAATATCATGTATACGAACCCATAAAGGAATCTTATCATGTAAATTGGAATTTAAATTAAGTCC